ACCTTTGATCTTTATGTCTGTTCTACCTTTGGACACAAATCAAAAAGATATCTTTATTTCATTCTTCATTTTAAATGGATTAAAGCCAGCTATATCTTTTTAAATTGCTCAAAGTCACAGAGGATGTAAACAGCTGAATAAAGTAGGCCTAACCCTGCTTTTTTTTAGTGCATAAATGCCACAAAAATCCTGCTGTTGTCTCAAGCTAGCAAAGAAGAAAAATCCAGAGTCTGAAGGATATATATCTGGAGTGGCCATGGCTCTGACATCGCCTGCAAGGAGCACTGTTAACCTCATGCACAGTGTCTCAAAGAGCCATTAGCTATTGGCTCATACCGGTACCTTGGAAGAGCTGCTAACTGTGTCTGCTGCTGCCTCCGCCTCTGATGGTAACTAGCCAGTACTGTCCAGCACTGGCTTCACTGTGTCTGGCTACCTTTGAGAGTTGCTCACTGCTTCTGATCACCCTCATCATCTTTTGGTGCTCTTACCTCCATTGTTGTCCAGTCCAGTGTTCATGGCTGTCCATGACTGACCATTGCTGTTGACTGCTGTGATGTCATTTCAGCAGCCCAACCTATAAGCACCTCTAGCTGCCGCCATTAGCTGGATGCTAACCCACTGCTTGCTGTTATGCCACTAGGCACACCTCTAGGCGCTTGAGGGGATGGCGTCATCTTGCATGAGCTTCCTTAGATTGGGACTACTGAGCCCTGTGGACACTATCTAGGGTGAGACAGTCCACCACTTTTGACCTTAGAAATGCTTTGCTTTTTCCCCACTCTCCTGTTGGTTAATTAAACCTGATTGTTGTCCCTGAGCCTGGGTGGCCTTGGCATTGAACGTATTGGTGAGAATATGTAGACAGTGACCTGCCCTCCACTGGGGTATTGTCCTTTCATTCTGTTTTCCTCTGCAAACTGTTTTCAGCACTCTAAAGCACAGTACTTAACTAGCTAGTAACTAAACATTGTACTGTGATTAACTGGCACCATTTAAAAAAGGTCATTTAGGCTTTCACCTTGCAGTATGTTTATGTAGTAATTAATAGTGCTTTTTGGCATTTATAGTGCTTACATGTAGGACCTGGTACTTTGCACTTTTTTGAACTTGAAGTATAACTTATATTCCACAGTACTACCTTATATATGCAACTTCCTGATCTTCTATATAGCACTTTTGGTTTATAAACTTACCCTAGGAAAAATCACCAAACATTTTCTGTACATGGCTTAATAGCAATGATTTTCAGACTTATGGACATTTTATGCTCTGTTGCAGCTACTTAGTCCCCCCACTATAGATTAAAACAGACATAGAAAATGCATATATAAATAAGAGTGACTGCATTTTCTTACAACATTATTTAAGTGAATTTGGTCATTAGCTTTGGTTTGCTGAGCTCTACATTATAAAGCTCCCCTTCAGACATTTTTACATTTAACCTTCCCAGAGACCTTATAAGGTCAATATTATTTTTTTTTAATGAGTGACAGACAATAAACTGTACATAATTACAACCTGGTACGTTTGACATATGTGTGTATACATATATATATATATATATATATATATATATATATATATATATATATATATATATA